TGAAATGTAATCGGTTGGACTGAAGTCACCTTTAGTGAGTATTTTACTCAGATAGATAAACCTATGTTATTTAAAAAATGAATTTCTACTTCTCGAACCAGAGAACGACAAGTACACGTGGTGAAAACACTATGGTTTCATTTCTACGGACTTACGACGCTAAAATGTGTGGTTCGATTCTCCGCGGTGGACACAACAGATAGCCCAATGTGGCTTTGTTCTAATACAAACAAACTTTTGAAGTATGTTTTATTTAATTTTTTGTCTTATACATTTAGGAAGATCAACAAATATATTTTTCATTTAGAATTACTGTTCTAATGAACACTCGAGATCTTTATTTTGTTTCAAAATTTAAGCGTAAATATACACTAGGGTTATTTGCCGTCTCTGAATTTCTAGACTATAAGGAAGGCAACTAGTTAAAAACATACACCGCCAACTCTTGGGTTATTCTTGTTTGACCATATATCCGGCCCCAAAGTGGCGAGAGCGTTTTTAGCAGCAAAGGGACGTGAGTAAGATATCCTCGGATTTCATACTCTGGGTACATTAACTACTAGGCCACGCCTGGCCAATTTAAGAATATTATGGTTTCATTATTATCCAGGTTTAAGAAAAGTTAACTCACCTTGGATGGTCATCACCTTCTCAGCAGAAACCGTTTGGAAAGAAGGAGCATCTGCAGATACCTCACAACGGAATATTCCTTCTGTAGAAGGAGTCACTTTGGTGAGGACCACGATGTCCTTGTTGGACCGCTTGATCTGCAAAGATATGTCTAGTGTTACTAGTAGAGAAAACTTCTTTTGGTGAGGACCACGATGTCCTTGTTGGACCGTTTGATCTGCAAAGATATGTTTAGTGTTACTAGTAGAGAAAACTTCTTTTGGTGAGGACCACGATGTCCTTGTTGGATGGACCGCTTGATCTGCAAAGATATGTTTAGTGTTACTAGTAGAGAAAACTTCTTTTGGTGAGGACCACGATGTCCTTGTTGGATGGACCGCTTGATCTGCAAAGATATGTTTAGTGTTACTAGTAGAGAAAACTTCTTTTGGTGAGGACCACTATGTCCTTGTTGGAACGTTCGTTCTGCTAGAATATTTTTAGCATTAATGGTACAGAATACCTCTTCTGGTGAAGACCAAGATTACCTTCTTGGAATAGCTGACTATAAGGATGAGTTTAGTTTTACCAGTAGAGATAAAACCTACCGTGGTGTCAGGGCTGCCGTTAGTTTTTTAATCTGTTTATTCTCTCAATTATTCAAACACTATTTTAAAGTAAGTATGGAACCAGTGATTATCATAACCTTACCATTTAATCTATACATTATAACAGCAAAGTATAACCTTAAAAACTGGCCTTCTTGCTTCTTTCACATCGTTTGACTGTATTTAAACTTACGGCCCCCTATGGGACACATAGGCTAAACAGCCAGATTAGAGGTCCCATCCTTTATTTAGAAGAAGGATAACCAGCAAGTATCACCCCCCACCTATACGGAATTTGTTAACCGAATAATATGATTGACTGTTGCAATTATAACGCTTTTACAGCTGAAAATGCAGAGCATATTCAAGGATATATCGAGGTTCGAGCCTCGGACCTTCTAATACACAGCCCAGCATCCAAACCATTAGGCTACGTCTAATTTTACAGTTTTACATCATCGCCAGTAAAACTAAACTTAAATATACAAATATTCCAAACTATACGAAGGATATGTGCGCTAGCTGTCACTAATTTAGAAGTAACAGACTAGAGAGAAGGCAGCTGGTCAACAACACCTACCGCTAACTATGAGATACTCTAGTCAGACCGAATAGTGGGATTTGACCGTCACCCACGGTTCCAAAGTGTGAAGAGCGATGCTTGTTTTGCGGTAACGGGACGCGAACCAAGGAACTTCAGCTCCATACCATAGTACGGCACGCTAACTATTAGGTCAGGTTCGGCCCGATTTTACAGTAATCGAGATTACTTTAAGTATTCACCTATTGCTAAATTTTGTTATTTTCCATGTATTATTTATATTTGTTGTTAAGCACAAAGCTGCACAATGAGCTGTGTCCACTACAGATGTCGAGCCCCGAATCTTAGCGTTACAAATCTTCAATCTTACGGTGGGAGGTATTATTTATGAAACAATACTAAACCAAACAATGGGCGGATATCTGCGATCTGCTGTCCACCGAGGTGGATCGAACTCCGGATGTTAGCGTTGTAAGTCCTTAACTTACCGCTGACCCGTCGTTGGGCGCATTAAAGTAGGAAGCTTAATAACTTGTTTGTTTGTTTTTTTTTTGTCTGTGATACCACAATTTTGTTATATTAATTATTCTAATCTTAGCTTTTACCAAATAAGGCCGGTACGTAAACGTGTCTGCCCAAAGAACGTAGTTTTTACGTCATAAAACCCTGTTTGATTCGAGTAAATCGTCATCTAACGTCATCAAGGTTCGAGCCGTGATTACGCTGAGTATGCTCCACACGTTTTGGCCATGGACGCGTGATGTTGACTGGCTACCTTCCTTCAGAATTAAAACTCTTTATATGGACACTAAAGAGCTCTGACCTCCGTTTATCGCAAAATGACTTTGTGAAATACATGAATTTCTTTGCAGTTAAGATGATATTCCTACCGGAAGGATTCTGAGGCCCAAATTATTAAACTATTTTTAGGTTTTGGGTGTTTACCAGATACTAGGCACATAAAACAAAGGTTGGTCTCAAATGACTAAAATTTGTGAAAAATATTATCAAAATCGATAAAATATGAGACGTTTTAGACTATAGGATATGAGTTAGAGGTTCTAAGCTCACTAACCATACCCGTACACGTTTAATAATGCTAAGTGAAACACGGTTAATGTGTTATTTGATGGCGAGTTACCTAAAACATCAATATATCCGACAAACTGGACCCCCTGATGACTCAACGATAAGTCTGTGGGCTCATAACCCTAAAAATTGGGTTTCAATACCCCTGGTGAAAAGAGAACTGAAACTCCATTTTGTAACTTTGTGCTTAACATCAAACAAACAAATTGGCCACGTGTGCCGTAACATTATACTGCATCTCACGTGACTGATTACAGCCTATCAAGTTTCCTGTTTGCAAGAGAAATGTACAGGCTTTTAAGACATTTTTCCGGAGGCATTATTGAGGGACGGAATTTCTGGTACTTAGCTGTTCTTTGTTTGATAAATAGGCTTAAGTGGTCGTGTTCCAAAAGCTCAGTAATCGAATCGCTTCGCTTTTGATACAACGTTTTCTAAATTCTAATTTACCATCCTCGAAACAACGTTTACTGGGACAATGAATATTTTTTTCAGTACAACAGTCTGTATATTTAATGTTAAATATCGTTATTTTCGCTATTTTCTTCGGTCTGTTCTTAATAATGATACAAATAGCCTATCACTAAAATTCGGATCTTTAATAACAAATAAGAGATTCGTAGAATGAAGTAATTTGTTTGTTTGTTTCTAAGCAACACTAAAATGACGTCAGAAAAAACTTCGTAAACGTCTTGGTAATAACACATATAAAACACAACGAAACTTTGTTTCAGGATTTCGCGCAATGCTATATAAGACCTGTTTTCGCGTAGCCGACTTTAATTCTGAACTGATAGACTAGATGGAAGGTGAAAGTCAACGACACTAACCACCAGCCCTTGGGCAACTTTTGTGTCACCAAATAGTGTGTCACTTTTATAGTACACTCACGGTCCCAAAGTGAGGACGGATTCTCAGTCTAGCCACTATCGGATGAGAAAAACAAATAACAAATCAGTGATTGAATAGTTATTGAATATGTACATCGTTTCAAATGTACAAAGTCTCCACCAACGTTATGATTATAAAAAACAATTGTAACTATGATGGCGAGCCCATAGTAGCCCACTCTGATTTAAAAAAGAGTTCAGTATTCACGATTATAATTCCTGTGATGAACACCTAATACTGGTTACGAGCTACAGGAAGAAAAATACAAGAGTATAGATGCTTCTGCTACAAACCTCTTTCACACAGATTTATTAATTGTTTGCTAAGAAAAACAAAAATCGACTAAGCCTAAATCCAATAAGCAGTGAAAAAGCTCCAATTAGAATATCTCGGCCAATGGAAGTTCAGTATTTCATAACGTCATCGTCCAATTGAATCTCATTCGCCATCTTTAATTCTGTGAATGAGAACTTTACCGCCTGGATTCAAATTCTGTTCGATTTTCAGCAGTCAGAAGATGGTAGGGTTTTCCAAAAACATCCTTATTATTGATGAGGAGCGTTCTCGCTTGACGAACTCAAAAGGTAAGAGAAAAAAACAACTCTGATTGATAACTGTGTCATAACACGTGGCGTGACGTAATATGTTAATTAACTGTCAAGACTGTCGTTTGATGATGATATCATTTTTGGCATCATTAGGCACACTTTCAAAGCAATGGCAGATTAATACTACCTCTAGGACTCGTTTAGAGATTACTAACAAGATATAGTGGAGTTATAAAAAATTGAAATGATCAAAAATACAGAATACTAGTCTTAATGGTCCTGGTAAACATCTTTGAACTTACCCCCTCTCCATTATAGATGTTCAAGTTAAAATATTTGTTATTGTAAATATGTAATTATTTTCTCCAAAAGAAGGTAGTGTCAGACAGAATGAATAAAGGTTCTAAATATTTTATATTTCAGCATTTCAGAAGCTACTCTATCAGACGTAAACAAACATTTGAAAGATAACTTTTAAATTGTAATTAATTAATAAAATAATAAACGTCGTAAAGGACTCCACGCAATATTTGACTGAAACCAAAGTTGCCATAAAGCCCCCTCGTTAAAAACCGGGTTTCGATACCCGAAGTGGACACAGATCACCCTTTGTGCAGCTTTGTGCCTAACTACAAACAAAATTTGTTATAAAAACTGGTTCTCGGGTGGTAAGCATAATATTCTATAAAACTTTATTTTAGATTTGTAAATAACAGCATAATAATAGACAAAACTTTATTTTATATTTACAGAAGAAGAGTAACTAATATTTATTGGAATGACGTTTTGAAACAGTTGTATTTGCTTTTGTCGTTGGTGCATCAATGCAGTGAATTGTCCTTAAAGTTCTTGAAAGTATGCTGTTAATAAAACTCAAAATGGCAGCCACTAATATGCCGATTGATCAAGGAAAGCATCCTTTATCATTCTTGGTCTGTTGATGATTTAGAAGATAAAGATCGTCATTGTATCGTTAGTTTACATGGTGGTTATTCTTGGTATGTTGATGATCTATAAGATAAAGATCGACATTGTATCGTTAGTTTACATGGTGGTTATTCTTGGTTTGTTGATGATTTAGAAGATAAAGATCGACATTGTTTCGATAGTTTACATGGTGGTTATTCTTGGTATGTCGACGATTTAGAAGATAAAGATCGACATTGTATAGTTAGTTTACATGGTGGTTATTCTTGGTCTGTCGACGATTTAGAAGATAAAGTTCAACAATGTATCGTTAGTTTACATGGTGGTTATTCTTGGTATGTTGATGATTTACAAGATAAAGTTCAACATTGTATCGTTAGTTTACATGGTGGTTATTCTTGGTATGTTGATGATTTACAAGATAAAGTTCAACAATGTATCGTTAGTTTACACGGTGGTTATTCTTGGTATGTTGATGATTTACAAGATAAAGATCGACATTGTATCGTTAGTTTACATGGTGGTTATTCTTGGTATTTTGTATTGTTCTTTAATACCAAATTAGGTCTCGAAAAATGCAAAATATCACAGTAACTGAATCTTGTAAACACGATAATGTTACCTACTGTCGTTCCCAATTTTAAACTACTGACTAGAGGGAAGCCAGCCAATCAACAGCACCCTACTATTTACCATCGATAAAGCACCCACGACCCGTGGTGTATGTTTAGGTGTTTCTTTTATAGCAAAGCCACATTGGGCTATTTGCTGTGTCCACCACGGGGAATCAAACCCTAGATTTTAGTGTTGCAAGTCAATAGACTTACCGCTGTTCCACAAGAGGATGACTTAAAATGAGAGGAATATTTTGTGGTATTGCAAAGATTTGAAACTCAGAGCTAACCAGCCCGCTGAATATGTCAAAAATATTCTAATTCACGTGCCGGAACTTTCAAAGTTTTATATATTTGATGTATTGGTTTTGGTTTTGATTCTGCTGTCCATCACATCACTCAAAATCTTTCTTTGATTTAATCCTAGAATGATCTAAACGTTTCTAAACTATTTATGCCATGTGAGGGACACAAAAACAAAGAAATAAAACACCATCAATATTACAATTAATCCTGGTAGTTAGTGTTAGAAGCTATTAAGTGATCAATTTCTGAGCCTGTGTTTACTTTTATATTCAAACAGACGTAATCTCAAAAAGAATGATTTGTTTTTCATTAATATGGACGAAACATGTAGATAACTTTAACCTTCATACCGATAAGGTCCGAATGCTTCATGACATTGAGTCATTTTAAAGAAATGTCCAAAAACATTGGGGCCAATCATTCCTTTTCTGTACACAATACATGTGTGTAGGTATAAGTAATTCAGTTTTAGATTAGGCTTAACGGATTTTGTCACGAACTATAGACGAACCTGCAAAAGATATTATATTTTTAGAAATATTAAATATCCTTTATTTGAAATAAGATAACAAGAAGTAATTGGTAATCTGAAAAATATTAAAAACAAAATAATCTCGAAGACTTTTATACTGCAAAGTAGGAATGGAATATCACAAAATATTCTCCTGGAAAATAGCTCAGTCGAAGGTAAATGTTCAAAGAGCAGACAGATTAAACAAGTGATTTTGAAGATCACTTTGATAGAAGACTGTGGTCCAATTCTCTCTTAATATATTTTACATTTCCTCTCACTTAATAAGTTAATAACTATTATTGATAATTACTAATATCCTGTTGTTTTAAAGGTGACGAGCGTGTACTTGATAATAACAAATGACCATATTCATTGTTATCATTGCAAGCAAATAAAAAAAAATATGAAGTAACATATTACCCAAGGAAGCTATACTAACATTGTCAGGAAGAAAATGTTTCAAGTTTTCTTTAAATCTTAGGCTTAGCTTTTTAAAAGAAACATATATATACAGCAATCGGGTCGGAGCTTTAGTTGTTGTGTGGATTAAAGGTATCCATAAGATATAAAAGAAGCTGGACGGTTTTATTACCAGATGGTATGTTTAGTTTGAAACTTCTGGAACGTGAAGATACGTTAGTATAATTTTGTTTACATTGAGGCAGTTTCTTTTTCTAACTAAAAGTTATATTACAGAATAATATTAAACTGTATTTTCTTTTACTTTCCCTCACATTGCGGAAGGTGTGGTGTAGAAAGAACACAACACTCGCGTGAGATGGATTAAATAAGAACCGGGAAAATAATGCTTACGTCGACTTGAATGCCGTCCAATGAGAAGACCTGTTTTACAGGGTTGTCCATGGGCACGTAACGGAAAAACTCCATGTCGTCCCGGTACCACTTGACGGAGTAAAGATTCTCACCATCTAAGTTGTAGTCACAACGAAGCTGTAGTTCTTGTCCAGATTGAACTTGATCCGGGAAATGTAACGAGACGATATGAATCGCCGCTATAGCTGAGACTAAACAAAATGTGATGTAAAGTATAGTTTGTGTTAGGTTACAAAATGTATAAGAAAAATTCAGATTGTGAAACATAAAAATAAAACGTTATACTCGAAAAAACAACAACAACAACTATATCTGTAGAATTTTTATATTCACACGTATAAAGAAAAATATCAAAGCAAAACTTGGTTAATATATGTTGAATTAATTACCACAGGGACATGAATAAATAGTGTTGGAAAGAAAGTCAAATTGGCGTAGCGGGAAAAAAAGAATTAAAGGAGAATTGTAACTACATAAAAGGAAGAGTAATTGAAATGAACCTGTAGAGAACTGAGTAATTGAAATGAACCTGTAGAGAACTGAGTAATTGAAATGAACCTGTAGAGAACTGAGTAATTGAAATGAACCTGTAGAGAACTGAGAACTG